ATTCATTATATTAATTAAAATGTCCTTTAAAACATTATTTCAAAATTCTACAGCACAATAGGAAGATTTCTAATTACCAGATTCTAAAATGCATCAGGTAAGTAGGTAATGAAATGCATTAAATTACTAGAGTTGATTCTTTTGCTTATTCTAATAAGAGTTTGCCTTCTTTTGAGATATGTTGGCCAAGTCTCCTGTCTATGGAAGTCTAGGAAACTCTTGAACAAACTATAAGTTAAATGTATTCACTGGCCTGGAACTTTCTACCCTTGATATTTCTGGTTTTGTTGCCCATTTTAGGGGCCAGGAGAGAGGATGCAGGCAAGGCAGAGTGGCGCAGTTTCCTCTCAACCTTACAGTCAGAAATGGGCTGGCACCAAGGGGAACACGGCCACAGGGCAGGGATCAGGGTGAGGTGAGTGTGACTGAGTTGGGCAAGTGCAGGTTAGGATCCTGTCTTTACTTAAAATTTTGATATTTTCTTCAGCACTGATTTCTTATTTTGTATTAATTTTGACTTTTAAAAGTACTGCATTATCGAATTTTTGGTACCCACTTATATTTTGTGCCAGAGATGCATGCCTCCCTTACTTACCCTAGTCCAGGGCTTCCTCAAGCCAAACTAGGCTCTGGATTCAAGAAGATCTGTGGGGCCACGCTAGAGTGCAACCCCTTCCTCTCACCCGCCGCAGCTCTGAGGGGCCAGGGAAGGCTTCTACAAGAACTGCGTTCTCCCTGCTTGCAAAAGTGAAAATGAGGTGTCCAGAAATGTGTCCTCTTTGTCTCACAGGGAAGCAATGACAGTGTTAGGGAGCAGCTGTCATTGATGGAACTGACACTGGGACTTTTAGCTCTCCTCTCTGGCAGTGCTTATTTGTTTCTGGGCAGGATCCATTATGAGCAAAAGAACTAATGCCCTGAACGTGGACTTATTAGCAGGAGAAACAAGGAGTCAGAATAACACATTCCCCCCAAAAGTATGAAAAAATCCCTCCGAAGCATGCAAAACTAAATAAAACTGAAAGGCTTGATGTACATACATTGTAAATATGACCTAAACTCTTTTGAAGCATGACACGGGCAGGAGTACTAGTGATAGAGCTAAACTAACGCCAACGGCACCTTTTCATTCTTGAAGAGAACAAAATAATACTTTCAGTCTCACTGCTAATCTTCTCATCACACTTATCTGTCTCCTTGTCTTTCTAAAAGAGATATGCTTACAGTCCTGAGGCCGGGACAAATGCTGTGCCCCTTGAAAAAGAACCCCGGGCCCCACTTTCTCTCCATTTGTGTTGGGCAGGAATGGAGTGGAGACAGGGACTAATTTTTACTGAGTAAATCCCTGGTGTTCACGCTTTTGGGAGCATTACCTTACTCGATGCCCCAGCAGCCCTGGAAGAGAGAGAGAGTCTCGTGGAGAGGATTAGGAGGTGTGGAAGGAGATTTAGTCCCTGCAGGTGCTACAGTTAGAACCATGAAGCCCCTGGGTGTCAGTCTGTTTTCTGGAGGGATATGATAAGACTAGGTGTAATGTTACTACTCTTTTACTTTAGAAAGTTGTCCCATCGTAGGATTGTTTGGAAAGGTGAAATACAGGGGCTTCTGTTCCATTGTCCTCCAGGGAAGGAAACTGGATCCTGCAGTTACTTTTTGGAAATTGGAAGCTAACACTATAGGCAATAAAATTTCTTAAAAGGAAAGAAGAGAAAGGTGAGGATGTTGATTTGATAAAAAAAACTCTCAAAATTATCTGTTGACATTAGATTGTATTGGTTTTTAGGCTTTAGCATGAGTATATATCTATTTTATGCATTTCTATGCAGATTCAATAAGAAAAAAACCCCTAAATATGTATTTAATTCCTTAGGTTCCCAAAGCACTTTGAGGATTTAAACTGATAAGCAAACCTCAAAGGGACTGATTCTTGCAACTAAAACACAGACACCTCTGGGGTGAAATGTGGCAACAGTTTGACAGGCATAGCAGTAGCTTAGGCCAGAAAGGATTTATCCAATTAAAATTATGGGATGAATTTTGGCTGGCAGAATGTAATTACCAGCCTTGGAATGGATCCAGGATCCTGAGGTTAACACCCCTCCTCTTGCCAACAACCCTCCTACCTGCCAACACTCCGAGATGGAGAAGGCTGGATCTGACACAATCGCACATAATACTGTTGTGACATCTAAGTACAATGATGATGATGTGAGAAGCATCATGAACCTGATTTTTTTTAACACTCATTATGTTACTTATTTTTATGCCACATTAGGCTAGAAACCAAATGTCCACATAAATGTTAATTTCCTCAAATCTGTGTTTAAAAAGTATAATTAGAAAATAAAAAATAGATTTAAAAATTAATTTATTCCGCCAAAGTAGTTATTTAGTGATTATTTCACTTCAGGAATAAAACTGGATCAAAATGGTGACATTTAATCCTTACTACATTAAAAAAAAAAAAAGCAGGTCCTGATTTTTTGGGAAGCGAAGTGTATTCTCAAGGTTCACTGGCCTAGAAAAAAGGGAAATGCTTAATGCCCGGTTCCTACTCGTTGTAACTTTTACTAAATGGGTATATGCAAGTACTGCTCTTGTTCCGGGGTGGGTCCAGTTCATATTCACAAGCATCGCGCGCAGATATTTCTCAGGAGGGAATCTGAAGGGGTGCGTGTGCGTGTGTGTGTAAACCAGAGAAAAGAGCCCCCTGCTGGTGTATGAGCAATGAGCAATGACCTCATTATTAGACTCCAATGCCCTTTTAAAAAGTCATTCCTTCATGATAGAATTCAGGAGAGTTCCAAGATAAAG